TCTTCCTCCTCTTCCTCTTCCTTCTACTCCTCCTCCTCCTTTTCCTCCTCCTCCTCCTTTTCCTTCTACTCCTCCTCCTCCTCCTCCTTTTCCTTCTACTCCTCCTCCTCCTCTTCCTCCTCTTCCTCTTCCTTCTACTCCTCCTCCTCCTCCTTTTCCTCCTCCTCCTCCTTTTCCTTCTACTCCTCCTCCTCCTCCTCCTTTTCCTCCTCCTCCTCCTTTTCCTCCTCCTCCTCCTTTTCCTCCTCCTTTTCCTCCTCCTCCTCCTTTTCCTCCTCCTTTTCCTCCTCCTCCTCCTTTTCCTTCTACTCCTCCTCCTCCTCCTCCTTTTCCTTCTACTCCTCCTCCTCCTCCTTTTCCTCCTCCTCCTCCTCCTCCTTTTCCTCCTCCTCCTCCTTTTCCTCCTCCTCCTCCTCCTCCTCCTCCTGCTCCTCCCCCCCCTTCCGGCCTCGCCCCATCAGCGGCCTTCCTCCTTGGGTAGCCGACAGACACTAACTTTGGTCGCCTTGAGTTTAAACTTTGATGAATTTGGTATTGGGAGGAAGAGTAGCGAAGAGGAGGAGGAGGAGGAGGAGGAGATGAAAGAGGAGGAAGGGGAGGTATAGGAAGGAGGAGGGAAGAAGGGAGAGGAGGAGGCGGCAGGGGAATAGTAGTAGAAGTAGAAGTAGAAATGGAAATGGAAATAAGAGAAGGGAAGGATGTGAAAGAGGAGGAAAGGGAGATATAGGAGGAAGGAGGGAAGAAGGAAGAAGAGTAGGAGGAGGGGGAATGGTAGTAGTAAAAGTAGAAATAAGGGGAGGAGAAGAAGAACAAGAACAAGGAAGAGTAGGAGGAGGAGGAGGGATAGGGGGAGATATAGGAAGGAGGAGGAAAGAAGGAAAAGGAAGAGAGGGAATCGGAGGGGTTAAAGATGGTGGAAGAAGAATAGTAGAAATGGGGGGCTGAGGAGAAGAGACGAGAAAGGTGGGGGATAGAGAAGGAAAAAGGGGGATATAAGGAGGGAGATAAAGGAGATGAGCGAAAGGGGAAAGGATCAGGAACTAAGGAAGAGGGACGAATATTCCTCCTCCTCTTTTTGTCACCTCCCATACTCCCCAATTGTTGCTCTCTCCCTTTTCTCTTCTTCTCCTCCTCTTTTCCTCCCTCATTCTCTTCTTCCCTTCCCTTTCCTTTCTTTCCCCTCCCTTATCCCCCGCCCTCAGTTCCTTCCATCCCCCTCCTCTTCCTCCCCCTCCTCCCATCCCCCTCCTCCTCCCCCTCCTCCCTCACGAGTAAGGGAAGAAGTGAAGAGAGGTTAAGGCAGGAGAGATACTGATTTCTCCCTCCCTTCCTCCCTCCCTCGGTGCCCCCCCCCATATCCCCCCTCCCAATTGTTCCCCTCCTCCTCCTCCCTCCTCCCCATTATTCCCCTCCTACCCCCCTCCCCCCTAGGTGCTTGGCATGCCGTCCCTCTGTGCCAAAGGTCAAGTTGGGTCTTTGAAGTGCCGAGTTATCCAATAAACAGTCCGATGGCCCTCCTTCTCCATCTTCCCTCGCTCCATCTCGTTGGTTTTCTCCTCCTTTCTCCCTCCTCTTCCTCCTCCTCCTCCCTCCACTCTCTTCTCTCTCCTCTCTCTCGTCTTTCTTTCTTTTCTTTTTCCGTTCTCCTCCCTTCTCCTTCGACGTCGTTTTATTCTTGAAGTTTTCTTCTCTGGGCTTTTTTTTTCGTTTTCTTTTCTTTCTTTTCGTGTGTTTTGTTTGTTTGTTTATTTTTTCTCTGATGTTTCTTCGATTTTTTCTTCTCTGCGCAGTCTTGGATTTTTTCCCGTTTATTCTTCGGTTTTTTATTCGTTCTTTTCTGCACCAATATCATCGGCGTTATTCTTATTGGATTTGTTTTCATTTGTTACATGTCCCATCATTTTATATTTTTCTCTCTTCTCTTTCTCCTTCTATTTATTTACTTATTTTTTTCGATCTCATTTTATCTCTTCCTTTTTCTTTTTTCTTTTTCTTTTTTTCAATTCTCTCGTTTTTCTTCCAACATCCCTTCCCTTTCCCTTAACCATTCTTTCTCTCTCGCTCCTCCCCTCCCACCCCCCTAACCCTTCTCCCTCACTTCAGCCAATCCCTTTCTCTCTCCTTCTCCCTCTCCCTCTCCCTCTGCGCCCCTCCCTCCCCTCCCCCCTCCCCCCTACCTCTCGTGTTCTGCCCTCAATCTATTGGCGTTTATTGAATACAATCGACACCATTGGAATGCTTTCAGGCTTTGCAGAATAAATGGAGAATATACCAGTCGGTGGTAGATGTTGCACAGGGAGGGAGGGAGATAGAGAGAAAAGGAAAGGAGAGGAGAGGGAAGGAGGCAGAAATGGAAAGGAGGAGGGAGGGAGAAAGAGAAAGAGGGAAGGAGGCTGAAATGGAAAGGAGGAGGGAGGGAGAAAGAGAAAGAGGGAAGGAGGCTGAAATGGAAAGGAGGAGGGAGGGAGAAAGAGAAAGAGGGAAGGAGGGGGAGGGAAAGGGAAAAAAGAAAGAGAAAGAGAGACAGAGAGAGAATCATAACTCGCCCCCTCCCTTCCATCCTTCATCCTTCAGTACTATCCTTTTTCCCTTTTCGTTCACTCAGGTGTGTGATTTTATTCTAATTTTCGCCACTTCTTCACATGTTGACTGAGAAGACTAATGTTCTCTCTCTTTATCTATCTATCTATCTATCTATCTATTTTTATCCTCGTGCCTCCCTGTCCTCTTACTGAGAGAAGTGGATGAGATTGGAGAGGCCATGCTTCTCTCTCTCTATCTATCTCCTTCCCTCCCTCCCTCCCTCCCTCCCTCTCACCCCGTTTATCCCTTCCCCTTCCTCCTAACTCCTGTCGTCCGTCCCTTTCTCCCCTCCCCCTTCCCCCCCAGGCGCTGTGTCGGACATCATTCCGCGCATTATTTGTCGCATGAAAGTGTTATTCTCAGTGTCTAATGCTGCTGCGCGGGCGGGCGGGCGGCGGGCGAGGGCGGGCGTCCTGGCGGTGCGTTGGGCCCGGAATGCTGTGCAACATCGCGATTTTACGACGCGGTTGGCGAGTCCCGCGCGCGGCGCTCGGCTCGGGGCCCGCCAGGAAATACGACCGTAATTCCGATACTCCGAGAGATTGTAATCGGTCGCCTGTACGTGGATGTTCATTCAAATTAAGCCAGCGCCGCGGCACGCCATTATGCACTCTATGTCCGGCGGCGACGCGTGCGAGAGCGGCGTGACGCGGCTCCGCGGTGGAGGGCTGGCGTCGCCGTCCTGCGTGCGAAAAGCGACCCTACGGCGGGGGAGCGTTGGGGTGAATTTGCCTCGGAGGCCGTCCGCCGTTCTGACAATGGGAGTGAGAAGTTCGTCTTGAGCAAACCAAGATTCGGGGAAAATTGTTTGTTTTCGCTCATCATTCTCATATAGGGCGAACGTGTGACACCTCTTACCTGTTTCTGCGCTTTGCGAAGAGAGGGGAGAGAGAGAGAGGGAGAGAGAGGAAGGAGGAGGAGGAGAAAGAGTGGAGGGGAGGTGTCACGCCGTCTTTGTGGTGAAGGGTAGAAAGAAGGATATTGATTGTGGTGATTCCGGCGTTTGGTGGTCCTGAAGGTGGTGGTGTGGTGGTGGTGGAGGAGGTGGCGAGAGGTGGGATGGGTGGAGGAGGGGACGGACGCGGCGTGGCGGTGTGGCGGCGGCGGCGGTGGTGGTGGTGGTGGTGGTGGTGTGGCGGGACGGCTCACCTGAGGAGGTTGAAGTGTGCTGCTGGATCAGTAAACACTCACATCGCCCCGGGCCAGCCGCTGGTTATGTGCTCGGCCTGTCTGCTGCCTCCGTCCCTCCCCCCTTCCTGCCACCCGTCCCTCCCTTTATACCTCCGCCCCTCCCTCCCTCCCTCCACCCATCCCTCCTTCCCTCCCCTATCCCTCCGTCCCGACCACTCCTCTGTCCTCGCTTCGTCCCAAAGTCCGAGTCGGTCTGTAACCAACTCTCTCCTGCTGGAAGGATGTGTTGTCTGTCTGTCTTTCGACCTCGTCTGTCGTGTGTCTTTCAGTCTGCCATTATGTCGGTTTCTTCTGATCATCGTGCTGTTGCTGTGGGCTGCAAAGCAACCATTTTCTTTTCCCCCGCATACCCTTTCCTTTAACCTCCGTCTCTGTCTCCCTTTCTTCCTTTCTCCCTCCCTTTATCCTCTTCCCTCCCTCCCCTTTTATCCTCCTCCCTCGCTCCCCCTTTATCCTCTTCTCTCCCTCCCCTTATCATTTTCTCTCTCTCCCTCCCCTTATTCTTCTCTCTCTCTCCCCCTTTATCCATCTCTCTCTCTCCCTCCTCTTATCCTTCTCTCTCTCCCTCCCCTTATCCTTCTCTCTCTCTCCCTCCCTTTATCCTTCTCTCTCCCTCCCTCCCTTTATCCTTTTCTCTCCCCACTTGCCTTTCGGCCTTGTTGACTCGTCCTTCGGTCACTGTTTTCTTACCTTCATTTGGTTTTCATTTTTTTCACACCTTTACCTACCTTTCGTGTTGTTTTCCTCTCTTCCCTTCCTCGTTATTTCGCATTCCCTTCCCGTCTCTTCGCCATCATTTCACCTATCTTTCCCTCTTCCTCATTTCCTCTCCCCATCGGCGTTTCTTCTCCCCTTTACTCCTATTCCCCTCCCCTCTTCGTTCTCATTCCGTCTTCCCCATTCCTCCTCTTCGCCTCCAGTCTGCCATCCCCATCTCCCTTTAACTCTTTCGCTCGATTCCTCTCTCTTTAGTTTTCAGTTGCTGTCTGTATTTTCTTCGCCTTCGCCTGAAACACCAGCCACAGCCACGGCCACCAACATCGACACTTCTTCAGCTTCAGCATCACAACATCTCGTCACATCATCACCATCATCTCGTCACATCATCGCCAGCATCTCGTCACATCACCATCATCTCGTCACATCATCACCATCATCTCGTCACACCATCGCCAGCATCTCGTCACATCACCATCATCTCGTCACATCATCACCATTCTGCCATGATGCGTGACATTATATCATATCGCCCCACATCTCATCAAACTACACGTATTGAGTCGCATCACATCAGGTCACACTACAGTCGACTTTTCCTCGCATCACATCACACTAGAACACAGTACACCATATTACATTACGCGTTACACCACACCATATACACACACACACACACTCGCCACCACACCACATCAAGCCACCCCATACCACACCACACTCGCCACCACACCACATCAAGCCACCCCATACCACACCACACTCGCCACCACACCACATCAAGCCACCCCATACCACACCATACCACACCACACTCGCCACCACACCACATCAAGCCACCGCATACCACACCATACTCGCCACCACACTACACTACACTATACGACACCACACTACACTCTCGCCGGCACCACGCGTGTACAGGCGGGTGGCCACAACACACGCGGCCCTGATGAGGGTCATTTCGGATCGTCCCCGCTGGTTCTGTGGGTTTCAGGGCAGAAGGAGAGGGGACGGGGAAGGGTGGGGGATGGGGGGTAAAGAAGGGGTAGAGGGGAGGAGAGGGGAAGGAGAAGGAGTGGGGGAAAGGGAAGGGAATAGCGGAGGGGTATGAGAGAGAGAGAGAGAGAGAGAGAGAGAGAGAGAGAGAGAGTGAGAGAGAGAGAGAGAGAGAGAGAGAGAGAGGATAGCGCTCGACCAACGGAACATTGGAAGTGCAAGCTCGACAGTCGCGACTAAGGGCAAAATGACAGTAATTTCGGGTGCGGAGTGACGGTGGGCGACGCCGGGCGGGACGGGGCGGCGATCACGGGCCCGGCGCGGAGGAAATGACGGAGCTGGCGGATCTAGGGGCGCGATCGGCATCTTAGGGGGATGGAGGGGGAGGGGGAGGGAGAGAGGGTAGGAAGGGGAAGGGGAGGGTGGGAGGCGGGAAGGAGGGAGATAGGAAAGGGAGAGGGTGGGAGGGGAGGGAGGAAGGGGAAGGGGAAGGGGAGGTGGGAAAGAGAAGGAGATGGGGAAGGGGAGGTGGGAAGGAGGGGGAGGGATGGGTCGTGGTAAGGAGCGGGGGTGGGAGATGGGGAGGAGGGTAAGGAGGGGGAAGGTGGGTTGGGAGATGAGAAAGGGGGGAAAGAGGAGGAGGAGGCTGGGAAGGGGAGGGAGGAGGGGATAGCATCGGAGAGGAGGAGAAGGAAGGGAAAAGGAGATGAAGTGTGATGACTTGACGGAGATGTAGAGAGGAAAGGGAAAGTGACAAGAGAAGGTGTGAAGAAGATGATGTGAAAAAAGGGAAAATGGGAGAAATAGAGGAGCAGGAAGAGGATGGAGTGTGAGAAAGAAACAGCGGAAGTATGAAGGTGGAAAGTGTTATATCGGTTTCTCGTGGTGCATGCAGGACTACTGGGAAGTTCTCGGGCCTGTTTCTTCTTCCTTTTCCTCCTCTTTTTCTTCTTCTTCTCCCCCCCCCCCTCTTCCACGTGCGCTTCTTCCTCCTCTTTCTCCTCCTCCTCCTTCTCCTGCTCTTCATCGTCCTCATCATCATCATCATCACATTCATCCTCATCCTCCTTTTCGTCATTCTTTTTCACTAGCCCATTCAGTTTTTTCTCCAGTTTCTCTAATCCCCCTCCTCTCTTTGTTCCTTTCAATTCTTGCATTGAATTTCTTTCGGTTTTCATTTTTGTCTCATTTTCTGAGAGTGAGTGAGAGAGAGAGAGAGAGAGAGAGAGAGAGAGAGAGAGAGAGAGAGAGAGGGATGGGGGGGGGAAGGAGACGTTGCAGTGGGCGGCCGCCCCGCATTCAGGTAAGACGGAGCGGGCGGGCGCGCAGGCAAAGCACGGCAAAGCGAGTCCTAACGACGTCGTTAGGGCGATGACTCTGGCCTCACGGCGCAACATGACTTCTCATGAGTCCTCGCATTTGTTTGGAAGCCACGAGGGTCTTGCTCCCGCCCCCGCCCGCGCCCCGCCCCGCCTGCGCCCCCGCCCGCGCCCGCTTGCTCGGCCTTTTTGTCGCTTTCTTTACTTTCTGTGGGGTCTCTTGTTCTCTCTTTTTTCAATGTCTTTCCCCTCTCCTGTCTCCTCTTCTCTCCTCGTCTCTCCTCTTTTCTCATCTTCTCTCTCCTCTCTCTCTCCTCTCTTCTCTTCTCTTCTCTTCTCCTCTCTCTTTTTTCCTTCTTGCTCCCTCTCTTATTTTCATTCGCTTTTTTTCCACTTACTGTAGGAGGCACGCGTCGTCCTAATCTCATGATTTTCGTTGGATTTTATACTCTCTGCCTCTCCCTTTCACCCCTTCTGGATCCATCACCATACCCCCGCCCCCCCACATACGTATAAATAGATAGGTAGATGGTTAGATATATATGTATCTATATATGCGTGTACACACACACGCACACACACGCGCACACACACACACACACACACACACACACACACACACACACACACACACACACACACACACACACACACACACACACACACACACACACACACACACACACACACACACACACACACATATATATATATATATATATATATATATATATATATATATATATATATATATATATAGACACATACATACACAAGCAATGTACCTATAAATATATAATGTATCCATATTGTGTGTATTATTTTTAGTGCCGTACCCGAGCGCGGGAGGAGAGTTACGAGCGCCCAGTCACCCTGATAGATTTTGATCGCGCTTTACGGCTGCAACGACTGCTATCAAAGCATTTTGTCATGCGCTCGGAGATTCCGAGTCATGCTCATGATTTATGCGGGAGGGCGAACACCGCGCTAACCAGGGGGACACGTGCGCGTGGGAGGGAAGGGGGTGGGGGAGGGAGGGATGGGGGGAGGGAGGGAGAAGAACAGGTGTGAAGAAGAGGGGAGGAGTGACGCATGCATTGATACTTGGACGGAAACGCAAGCGATCATGCATGCAAAGAAACACGCGCGCGCACACAAACACAGACTCACATGCGCGAAAAGCATATTTCTCCATGTGCGACGATATATGTGTGTATATATATATATATGATATCTATTTCTCTCTCTCTCTCTCTCTCTCTCTCTCTCTCTCTCTCTCTCTCTCTCTCTCTCTCTCTCTCTCTCTCTCTCTCTCTCTCTCTCCCTCCCTCCCTCTCTCTCGCTCTCTCTCCCTCTCTCTCGCTCTCTCTCTCTCACTCTCACTCTCACTCTCATTCTCTCTCTCTCTCTCTCTCTCTCTCTCTCTCTCACTCTCTCTCTCTCTCTCTCACTCTCTCTCTCTCTCTCTCTCTCTCTCTCACTCTCTCTCTCTCTCTCTCTCTCTCTCTCTCTCTCTCTCTCTCTCTCTCTCTCTCTCTCTCTCTCTCTCTATATATATATATATATATATATATATATATATATATATATATATATATATAATATATATATATATATATATATATATATATATATGTATTTATATTTATATATGCATACATATATAGATAGATATATATATATGCATACATACATACGCATATACAGTGGAGTGTGAGCACTCGCCTCGTCCGCGCCGGCTCAAGCGGGTCAGCGTTGACTAACCGGCCGCGTCGAAGTCATTGCAGTGTAACATCAAAAACAAAGAGGTTAATTATGGCCGCCTCGTATTGTCTGCGTTAATTAGGGTCTTCGTTGCTGGTGTGGTATTGCTGCCTCGTTTGGCCAAGGCGGAATGGGCTGGTGATGGGCGAGCATTTTTTCTCATTACTGGGACGCCGGCCGCGCACGCTGCATGCAAATCAACACACAAGCACGTGCACACGAATGGGAAGAAATATGAAAAATAAAAGCTTTACAAGTACTTACTGTCTGTCTGTCTGTCTCTCACGCTCGCTCTCGCGGTCTCTCTCTCTCTCTCTCTCTCTCTCTCTCTCTCTCTCTCTCTCTCTCTCTCTCTCTCTCTCTCTCTCTCTCTCTCTCTCTCTCTCTCTCTCTGTTCTCTGGGTTTTCCTGGAGAAGTAATTCCTGATATATATATATATATATATATATATATATATATATATATATATATATATATATATATATATATATATATATATATATAGTGTATAATGATCGCTGCTGCCATGTTGCGCAGGTGTTGGCGCTGTGAAACAGGCAGGTGTTCCTTTAGCATTATGTTGATGTGTTTTTACTTTTATGGAGCAACATGATGATACAAACACACACACAATATATATATATATATATATATATATATATATATATATATATATATATATATATATATATATATATATATATATATATATATTAATTAGAGGGAGAGAGGGAGGGAGGGAGGGAGAGGATGATAGATTTACACGCATATACAGACACCTATGCATACGTACATGAATAGCGAAACACAGTATCGTGTCGATACTGGTAGGAAAAAAAACCTACTGTGCACAAACTAGATTTATTGAAAAGTGAGACAACAATTTCGAAATCCTCCAGGATTTCATTGTCAGAGCTGAAGATGAAATTCAGGAGGATTTCGAAACTGTTGTCTTACTTTTCAATAAATCTAGTTTGTGTGTTGTTTTTTTTTTCGAACATACATACACAAATATATATAGTTGTAGTTTTAATCATATGTAAATTTGTCCGTACATACGCAACCATACATATTTACGCTTATGATCATATTTACATCAATTTCTTACGAACGCTATAGGTTCTGCACGGAGCTCTGAAGCACAAATCTCTATCAGAAGGAAGTATGGCACCAGGGATTTGCGCAGAACCGTTGGAACCGCCGGGAATTGTTCGGTTCAGCAGTGGTTCAGGGCAGCGCGGAGAGCCACTGGTTCTCTGGTTCGCTTTTGCTCGCTGGCGGGTGGTCGGGGAAAGGAAGGGAGAATGAAGGAAAAAGAGAAAGAGGAAAGGAAAGAGAGGTGAAGCGGAGGAGGAGGAGGAGGAGGATGTGGAGGACGAGGAGGAAGAGGAGGAAGAGGAAGACGAAGAGGAGGAGGAGGAGAAACAGGAGGAAGGGTGACGATATTGATGATGAGAAGAAAAAGAAGAAAAGAAAACGAATAAGAGAAGGCGGAGGAGGAGAAAGGAGAAAAGTTAGAGGAAGAGAGGGATGATTATGAAATAGAAGAGGAAATAGAAGAAACACAAGGAGGAGATGGAGAAGGAAAGAGACGACGATGATGACGATGACGACAATCCCAAAGCCAAGAAAAGCAGAGGACCTGGATCGGTTGCACGCGCTCGCCCGGCATGATTGCACGAGTTGCCAAGCGCGTGTTGCTTAGATTAATCGGCGGCAGGTGTGCTCTCCCCCGCCACGGTGTCACAGCGCCGTCGAGGACTCGCTTATTGGGTTATTTATCTGGTGTGGATATTTTGATGCTTTATCGGTCTACAACAGATGGGTTGTTGGTGTTTGTGTTCTTCTTTATTTTGTATTTTTATTTATT